ATTTTAATTAGCATGGATTAAAGTATTTTCCGTAAAAAATGCATATTTTCTGTCTTTAAAGAGAGTGCATGGATTTCAATACCGAATTTTTGCTGTTGGATGTGATGTCATAAATTCTCGTTTTTATTTATGCCAAAGCTGCATAAATTTCACAAAAACAACTCATGTATACATGTTGAAACCTGCAAGTGCCCCAGCTCTACCAGACAGTATGTGGGAAAGGGAAGTAGAGTACGAAATACATGCAGAGAGTAAAAGGGAGGGAGAGATGAAGAGAGAGAGAGACGACATGAACAAGTAAAAATGTTAACTGCGCACATTACTATAATTATGTATGAATTAATTGCTGTTGGATGCTCAAAATGTAACAAAGTCAATGAAAAAACTGCACACGAGAGAAAAAAAAACGAGGAAGAGCATGTAACTAGCAAAAGTCACTGTTCAGCCTGAATGATGTATAACCGCATTTTTTCGCGACGTATTTATGCGATGCAAAAGGAAAAACGACAGCAAAAATTCGGTAACCCTAAATGGAGAACGCACATTGTTTCACTGTTAAAAAAAGAGTAAAATGTGTAGTATATCCAGTAATGGTTGCTTTTTAATATCATGTGTGGGTCTGTTTGATGAACATGCAAACGAGGCGAAAAAAAAATGAAACCCCGGCAAATTGGTTGGTAAAGATGTGACTTTTACATGCGTGTAAATTAACACAACTTTTGAGAGAACATGATTATCGTCGTATGCACAAGTGAAATATTGCGTTGCACATAGAAATATTTCACATTTCTAAAGACGCAAAAAACAACACCTTACTCGGAACCCGGATTCATTCCATAGTTTGCACCCTCAAAAGGATTGGAATTTGTGAAGCCAAATTCAAGAAGCATCTTAACTCATTACTGCCGGTCTGATTCTCATACCCGTTACTTTGCTAAATGAACGTGAACATAACATGGGTGAAACGGAACAGCACAAAAATGACATTTATTTACTGCAAATGAAGCACCCACATTAATTACTTTCATTCAGTTGAACAGAACGAAACAAAATTATCATTGAAAAAATTACATTATTTCAATTTACTTCAAAAGGCCTCATGAAAAAAATGTAAACACAAATCTTCATTGAATATTCATATGGAAAAAGATGAGATTTTTACACGCAAAAAAAGTCAATGACTTTAGAATGAGTGAAAAAATGCTCCCGATGTCATCCTTTCCTTTCTTTTGTACATTCATTGTTAGAAAAAAGTAAGTAACGTTAAACTTCTAAATGTCATTTTTCCATTTCAGAGACACAAACTGTTTAAGAAGAAATCTCTATTTTATTTCTGCTGAATATTCATGGTAAAACGATAATAAAGTCGATTTGTGCACTGCACCAACATGACAGCGTATTAAATTGCGTAAAATGAGCTGATTCGCTTTGAAACATATGATCTTCGGGTGCTGGACATCAAATGTCACCAATTTTTGTCGAGATAAACTCATAATCTTTTTATATGTGCATTTTTGCAAGGATAGCAAAAAAGGTCTTTCTCTTCATTTTTCTGTCTCCCCTTTTTTTTGCTTATTTGTCCATAATATATTTTCGTTCGTTTTTCTAAACGTTTTCTTATAAGGATAAATGGAAGACGACAACAAAAAAGTATAACAATAATAGACTTGCTACACATCTGTCCGTGCAAATCGTCTTCGTCGGGGGAAATAATGGAAATCACTTTGTGCACGCAAACGACACCTGAGAACACTTTGAATCCTTTCGTCTCCTGCCACTTTTCTCTCTCTACTTAAAATCAATAAGAATCCATTGGCAACAGGAACACGGTTTCTAAGATGTGTAAAACTGAACTGCATTGAGATGTGAATTATGATTGCACTTTATAATTGCTTTTAACCTTTTTCATACTTCGAATACATCATTCGACGCTTTACGCCCGAAAAGAAAATCGCTTCACAATACCAACTAGTACATCATTTATATCGTTGTTCATTTTTCACAAGCAAATAAAGTGTGAGTGGAAAAATTCCCGAGCGTGGCAAATCATTTGAAGCGAAAGGCTGAGATATTATTATTTCTCTTGATTTATGCTCACCTTTATCTCTTTCAGCTTCATTTTTTTTCATGTCGTCGTCGTCGTCAATGTGCTTGCTTGAGATTATGGTTCTGTGCATAACGCAGCAAAAATACGACAGTTTACGTGTGCACTTTGGCTCTTTTACGCCAAACCATTTTCACATGTATGTAACAAAGATATGCGCATTCAATGAATTCCAAATGAATGTACCAAAAAAAACACGAGAAATTGAGAAAAAGAGCAGAAAAAAATATTTTGTGCGCAATCAGCCCGAAAAAAATTGATCGTCATTTAGTATTGCTTCTTTTGTTCGTTATCGTTATTCATGCATCGCGCTGACTCTCTTTTTGATGGTATGTGCAGTGCTATGTATGTATATGTACGTTCGGTGTGCGTCATAAAACTACAATACATATCGGGGAAAAATAGATTTGAAATTCAATTGAATGGTGCATGCGATGCGAACCGACAACAATAAAAATAGTCGGCGAGGTAGATAAATACAAATGTACGGAAATTGATCAGAAAATGGATTCCGTTGCTGGAGTAAGAGGCGCAGAGGAAGAGAAAGAGCAAAAAAATTGTGATAGCGGAACAAAGTGAAAAAAATTGGGCAAAAATGAAGATAGAGTCGATGGGTAGAAAAGAGAGAACCAGAATCAAGTCAAACGAGATGGGAACAAACCATCCCGAAAAAAAAACACATACATACATATTCGAATCGTTCGCTAAATTTGGTTTTGTATTTTGATTTTCCAATTGGATGATTTTGGATTGACAATATAAATTCGGTTCGGTTTGTCCGTTTATGTAATTCATTTGGAATGTGCTGCATTCGTGTTTGGGAAGAATATATATGTGTGTTGTGAGTGTACTGTTTGCTCCAAATGAATTACCCATCGAA